GAAAAGAAAACCCCCACTGAATGTGGGTGACATCATCTGACGGGCAGGGATCCCAGATGTAATAAAAGAGAAAGAAAAAGAAAAAGAAGGAAGAAGAAAACTGAGTACCAGCCTTTGTCTCTCTTTGCTTGCTATGGGAACAATGTGACCAGCTGCCCAACACTCCTGAGACCACGACTGACCACATCCTGGAGCTGTGATCACAGTCAACACTTTCTTCCCCTGGGTTCTTCTGTCACATTGATTAGAAAAGTAACTAGCACCCCACAGTACTCTGACAGATCTCAGCACACCACCACTCATGCCCCCTACGCCCCCTGGGCAGAGCAGAAACTTGGAGGGGCCAGTATGATATTAGGACTAGGCTAACCACTGATTTGAGAATAAAAGGCCTCCTGGACTTGAGAGCCCCACCCCCACTTCAGGACACTGAATCAGCACAAGATAGGTTCTTTCACAATTGCAGAGATGCGTCTCCTGAGCCATAGCAGAGATGTGGGATGGAGATCCAAAGATCTGGAAACTGCTTGGAGAAATCCCAAGGATCGAATCCAGGTGAGCAGCAAGGACTCAGCACCCTCCTGCTGCAGGGTTCAGGCTTCTAAATACACCTCCCTGGGGTTCTTCAGTGAAGTCTAGATTCTCTCAAAATATCAAAACTATCGATCGAATAAAAAACCCGAGGCTTCCAAAAGCAGAAGGCAGAAGCAGTGTTTTGCAGGGCTTTGCAAAACCTTCCCCAAGCAAGGACACCCCAGGCAAAGCAGAGACCAGCCTGTGGGGACCCTGCACTGACGAGATGGGGTCTTCACCAAGACCTGATTTCAACAGCAAAGTCACTCTGGGCACGGCAGGCTCATAATATGGGGCTCTGAGACTCCCTACCTGCAGCTGGCCGGCATGAACAGTGAAGAAAGATCCCCGAACAGAAGACAGTTAAGTAGAAACAGTATCTGCATGATTGGAATATCTGGGACGTCTGTGCAGGCTTGTTTTTGTTTGTCCCCACCAACTGAAATCCAAATTCAATTGTGAAAGTGTGACGAGCTAAAGTGACCTCATGCCTACTCGTGTGTACGCGTGTGTGAGGCATTCCTGACTCTCAGCATGAGCATTAGACTCTGGCTGGGAGTCCACGGGAGGGGAAGAGGCTTATGGCTGTGTATCTGCACTCAAATATAGAGATTAAAAAATGCTAAAGAGAAAGAAGAAAAGAGAGTACACAGCTGCCGTCCCCCAAACAGACCTCCCATCTGCCACCCACGATTTGCATGTCACCTTCTCCGGGCTCATTTGTACTTCATTAACTGCCATTGACTTAACAAGATTTATGCAAATGACACCATAGGAGCTCCCTAACTCCCACTGCAATCAAGTGATTATGTATGTACAACTTGCCACAGCGATGAAAAATTAATACATGACAAGCCCACTGGCCGCTGAGCTGGGCCGCTGGCTTTTATTTTTCTTGCTTTGCCTTTTTATTTCTACTCAAATAGACCTTTATCTTATTAGTAAGAAAAGAAATAGGATTCTGTAAATCCATCTACTCTGGATACCCAGATAGGACAAAAGAAGAGTTGGGCCCAGATCCTGAAGAAATGAAGTTAAAGGCTAGAAAACAATTCCTTACTCTTGGGAATCTTAAACTGAAGAAAGGGAGAAATAAGGTCACCAGAGATGGTGACTTGGCCAGCTACCTGTTATAAGTTAAATAAGGGAAAAGCAACCTATGCAAATGGGCAACCTGTAAACCACGAGCGAGGTCGCAGGACGCGCAGACTGCCGCACTTGCAAAATTCCTGTGGAAGAGCAGAAGAGTGAAGTGGCCAGAACACCAAGTGTTCAAGGACAGGACAGGAGCTTCTGAGTCACTCCTCTGCCTTGAGGCCAATGGCCCAGCAGCTGGGTGGGGCTCTGACAAGTTTCAGCTTGGATTCATTGAAGACCAAGGACTCTGCTGCCTGTGAGAAGGACTGAGAAGCAGTTGCAAATGAACAGCAACGTTCCCCCCTGAGGACAGATGCACATTCCTGCAGCATCCCTGGAGAAAGACACTGCTACAGGCACAGCCTCAGCTGTTTCTTCTACACAGCACCAGAGACTTTTGTGGGAGCTGAGAGTTCCTATGTTTGACTTAACACCTTCAGCCTGGGGCTGAAAAGGTGGCTTAGTGGTGAAGACCACTTGAGGCTTTTGCAGAGGACCCAAGTTTGGTTCCCAGCACCCACATGTGATAGCTCACAACCACCTGTAACTCCACTTCCAGTAGATTCAATGCCACCTTCTGACTTCTTCAGGTACCTGCATGTGCATGGTGCACGTAAAACTAACAGCAGGGCAGTGGTGGCACACGCCTTTAATCCCAGGAGGCAGAGGCAGGTGGATCTTTGTGAGTTCAAGGCCAGCCTGGTCTACAAGGCTAGTTCCAGGACAGGCTCCAAAGCTACAGAGAAACCCACCCCTGCAAAAAAAAAAAGTAACACGGGCGCGCGCGCGTGCGCGCACACACACACACAAACAGTAATCTTTAAAACTGTCAACTTTACTTTGTACGCTTCCTGTCAACATGTAATGGAAAGAACACAGAAGTGTTATTAAGAAACACACTGTGCACATTCTAGAATATTCTAGGCAGATAATGCCCCTTTAGGCTCCATCCTCTCAATCCTCTTGTTTTCATACAGAGGTCATCACTAGGGTGGGGGCAGTGAGGAGTATATACACTCGAATGACCCACGTACTTTTAAAGTGTGAGAATACACAGCATGCAGCGTTAGGTCACTGTAACAACCCAGACCACCTACAACCTCTACCTAACTCCAGAGAAGGTGCGGGAAGGCTCTGCACGAGTACCTAGAACATCATCTCAGACAAAAAGCCGCAGTCTGGCTGGAATGGATCCCTGCAGAATGCCTAGGTGTCAGAGTTTTCTTCTTCCAGGTCCACACTTTGCACACGAGGGGTGTGAGGCCTAAGCATCAATTACAGTGGGACCATGTGATGCTGGGAGCACACCCTTGTAGGAGTTAGTGCATGGTTCCTACTGTAAGCACTGAATGGGTGAAATCAGGTACGTCCCATGCCCAAAGTCATGAGGAAACCAACATTTAGACATCAAGGAGAATATCATGAACGTCCAGGAGAGAAAGGCTTCCAAGGAACACTAGACTGTCAACCTTGATCTTTGCAAACTGAAAATCCAGTTGAGAAGCTGGTAGGGTCCAGAGATGAGCAGGGAACAAATGAAGTAAGGTTCCAATTACACCAGAGCCTGGCTGGCTCACCATGAGTTTCCTGCTGAGAAAGTGAACCCCCTCTTCCCTCAACCAGGAGTTGGCAGAAATCAGGAAGACAATGTCCATCAAGAAACAATGTTCTTCAATGTCCTAGCAGCAGGTTTTCAAGTGAATAACAGCTCAATAATTTTTATAACTCTACATGAAGTAACACTGCACAGAAATTATACATTAAAATGGTCTTATGTAGACTTGGATTATAATTATATACAAGCAATGTTAGTAAACAACTATGTACATGGCCTTCAAAAATAATAAGCCTCTTTATAAGGAAAACACTGCCCATCACCAGGAAGGCTTACTTGCCTTATTTGTAAACACATGGAAGGTGAACATTTTCCTTAGAGGTGCTGCAAGCTGCCCTCCAAATCTGTCACCCAGAATAGTAAGGATGGTACCGTACAGAGGCACAGTACCCTTGGCTAATGCCGGGAGGCCTTACTCCCCTGGGTCAAAGGCCCACACAGCCCTCTAAACAGAGGGCATATGTGGCGCACAGGCCACTTTGGTCCGCAGCCGGAGGGTAGGAAGGCGGTAGTCCTGGTTTCTCAGAAATCCCGTGACCCCTTAACTCCCACATCTTCAATCTAAAATGGTCCAGCTTCTCACAAGGGCTGCGGCCATTAGCTATAAGCAGGTGAAAGCTGCACCGCTGAGGAGAGTCTGCTATATCGGCATGAATACTCTTTCCCCCATCAGGACCCACATGCCCAGGCCAAGTGAAGCTGGGTGATAGCTACAGAAAAGGCGGTGGATGCCCTAGATCAACCAACGCTACGAACAGGCCACCAGTGTCATCCCGTGGAAGGCAGAGCTATTTCCCGACCACAGATTTCCTGCCCCCACCCCAACAGAACACACTCTAAATCAATTGGCTTTCTTTATCAACCAAAAAAGATGGCATTTCCAGAGCCGCTGAGCAGGGTTGAACTCTTTATTCTTATTGTTTTGGAAACGAAGCAGCCGAAGACGTCACACGTGAATTCCAGTGGGTCTTGCTAGAGACGTGAAGCAATTTAGGACCCGGTTTCCGGGCTAATGAAAGCCCATTTCAGGCTAGCAACATTGGCCAAAACAAATGCTTGAATTCAAGTCCTGTTGTGTAATGGGGAAGTTTAATTAAGGCCCCACATTACAGCTGTAAATGTTCCTATGTATAATAAGGTCTAAATGAAACTGAACCTAATCAAAGTTACAATCCCTTCATTAGCAAATTACAAACAAGAGCGCACAGCTGACACGCCAGCTATGATTATTACAACTAATTGCCTCGTTGTTACAGACCAGCCTGAAACAGTGTTCAGATGTCCGTCTGCAAGAGCAAATTAGGGCCACGTCAGGCTATTCCTGTGATCACAAGGGGTTCTTCTACAGCGATCTGATTTACCCCTGTCGTCTGGCGGCCAGCGGCCCAATCAAAGCCACGCTACAAAGGCAGCCTTTGAAGCCAGTGCAGCATGGAAACACACTCCATATGCAGGCGGGCAGACCGCACTTCATTAGAGCTGTTGTCGCATTTCCCTCTTCTTATTCTAATGATCCCATTTTAATACTCACAGGAACCACTTCTAATTGATGTCAAGTGAGTGACTTCTACATTCATCAACAGAGCACATCAAACAAACCCTGGTGCCCGAGCCAGCACCATCTCAGGCTGCACCGAGGTATGTCTCCAGAGAGCAGGGAAGGGGACAAGTGTACCTGTTTAATTGGGATGGCTCGCCCGCTCCCGATACTGTCCGCGCGGCTCTCCAGGCCTTTCTTCTCTTTGTCTGGGTCGCTCCCTTTCCTAGACTGCAAGCAAAAGTAAAGTTAGCATTTGGGCACGGGTAGAGGCTGCCAGACGGGTCTCACCCCTCCAACAGGATTCAGAACTGCCACCCCCAGCCGTTCGTCTGCACTGACTCATCATTCCAAAGAGAATTTTCTAAACTTTCCCCCTGACTTTTCTACTGCGAAATTATCTTTTAATTCTTTTTTAAAGAGTTCAAAATGCAATTACTAGAAACCAATGGACCGTCCAGGAAAGCAACACCCAACGAGAAAACACATTCTAGAGCTGCAGTAAGCATAGCTGAGGAGAGGGGGGCCCTCAAAGGTTATCTGGAAGTCCAACTGCAGAAATGTATGGATTAAATTAATGTCTAGATGATTTAAAAAGTCTATTAACCACACAGTAGTGTAACTTACTGGTATACCCCTGGCGAGTTGTTTCAAAGAGCAAGCAATGTTTCCTTTTATTGCTTCTGGTCGGTTAGAAAACAGCAATTCAGAGTTAAAGCAGTCTACTGTGCAACAAAAAGATAACGGAGGCAAAAACTGAAAATCTTTTTTTTGACAAAATGTCAATATTCGAGGGCGCAACGAACAACTGTTTGTTTGCCAGGTCTTGAGCCCATTGTCTTGGACGGCTGGTTGATGCTGTATGAACTGCCCAGTGGCGGGCAGGTGCGGGGAGGAGGGCACTGTGGAAAGGTGCAGGAGCACCCAGGCACCGTCCATGTCCCGGCTCCTGCTGGCATGAGCACGTGTAAGCATGGTGATTGTCTGACAGATTTATTTTATTATGAGAGAAAGATCTGAGACTCGTCCTCCTTAATAACAGTGCTGACAAGTGACAACTTCACTCCATTACTTTTCAATGGGAACATTACTCACGCAATATTGAAAATGGAGAAACATTTTCCTGTGCTTTTCAAATCTGAGATGATATATGAAACAGAGAGACTCGGTGCTGTCCGGTGGTGCTGGGAGCAGCTAATGAAATTCAGATTCAAAAGAATATGGGACGAAGCAGAAGATGCTTCTAAAACAGTATCCAAAAAGGCAAGGACCCGAGAGGTAATAAAAGCAAGGGCTGACGGGACGGGTTACTGCCTGAAGACTCAGGGAAAGGTGCCTGTGATATCAACTCGGCGTAGACACTTCAAAGGTTGTGATTTTGTCACGTGGCGGTGCATGTGAGAAACCACGCTCTTAGCTGATATTACAGGGGCCTTTGCATTTATCAAATGCCTCCTTGGTGACCCATGCTGTGTGCCTACATCGTGGATTTCAACATAAACTCCTTCTGTCTTTACTCTTTAGTTAGTCATGCAAAGCAGAACCTCACACAGCCACCTCTGTCCCCCAAGTCAGTTCATGGGCACATGAGGTTTCCAACTGGAAAATGAAGTCCCAAAGCTCATAGCCGACAACATTTCAGAAATTCTGAATCAATGGAGAGCATTAAGGGCATTTGGGGAACTTTATCAATTCTAAATACCTAAGTTTGAAAATCCATCTTCATTATTCTCCATTAAGCAGAATAATTAACAAAACAAACATTAAAAAAAAAAATGAACATTTTCCTGGAGGCGGCGCATCTGTCCCCAATCGCTGTTCTCTGCATAGAATTCCGGATTCCACGGAAGCAGGAAGCAGCAGCCAGAGTCGCTGCACAGCTCCAAATGTGTAAAGAAACAGGAGTCATGCTCGGCACGATCACAGCTCCGAGACAAATGGGAGAGAAACTTGGGGTACACATTGGAAAAAAGGAAATCCACCAACAATGGTATGTTTGTGGAAAGTGCCATAAAACTAAAGGACAGAGCTCCAACAAGCTGCCGGGCAGAGGGTTTGCCAGGTTTGCCATCTACAACAGGCTGACTCAAGGAGACTGCAATCCAACAACTAAACCACAGCTAGCAATGAAACCCTGCACCTCTGAATCCCGAGGGAAGACTCCTGGCTTTCCTGCCCACCCTGGAGAGTCTCCACAATGAGCATCCTCCCCTCTGTATCATGAGATGATACTGGCAGCCCGTGGTACCCATGGCTACACCCGGCCTGCTGCATTCTTCAGCATCAGAGCTCATCACTCTCACTGCACACCCGTAGACTTCAAGCCAACAGAACAACTGCTGAGCCCCACAGACAATGAAGATAGACGAAAGGGAGGGATTATTTACTTCATTTCAAAAAAATGTTTAACTCCCTATACATAATAAACAAAATCCCCTGGACATTGGGCAGAGAATCGTGACTGGCAATGATGCCCATCAAACAGAGCCTGCTCTCCTAGCTCCAACCAATAAGGCAGGAACAGATGGAACACACCATGCCAGGCTTTAGGGCTCCTGTTCTCGGCAAGACACCAAGGATCAATTCTTTTACACTATGGATTTTATTGTCCCTTTTTCTCCAGGGAGCTTCTCCGAGTAGGTCCAAGTTCTGTACCATCTTTGCCATCTCTGGATGTCGGTGTGCTGAACTATTTAATGGAATCAGCATCACACAGAAAGCTTTGAATAACACCATATAAAGACCTAATTCTTTAAAAGCTTGAAAAGACATGAAGCAACACCACACAGAACTTTAGGAGCATTGCAAGCGTAACATCACAAACGCAGGCAGCACATCCACACCTACTTAGGTAAATGGCAAGCCCCTAGAACAGAGGCAGGGAACGGATCGGGAGGCCTGGACTTTCACTGAGAATGTGTATCCTTCATGAAGCTAGTGGCTGCAAATCCCCTCTCTCATTAGCACAGAGAACACATGCAGGTTTTTCTTTGTAATTCTTATCAATCTCAAAACATTATTCAATAAAATATCTCAATTACATGTAAATCGGGCTACTAAATGAACTGTTCTAAAAATTCTGAATGTATTTCTAAGGCAGGTATCCAATGGGTCATCATTTCTCAAGGCAATGGCCTTACATAAAAAATTAACAAAGCATGATACAATTTAAATTCCCCTTGGTAAGGCATACATAATTGTCACTGCAAAATAATGCATACCATGATATAACTGGAGTGATTTAGTTTATATAATTTCATACAAAATACATAGGATTTATTTGTTTAAAGCATGTATGTTGCAAATAAAACCATCTGCCAGCTGAAGACGTTATCCCTGTGTGGCACAGGATTACTCTGAAAGTCATGTGAGGGCGGGATGGGAGCTACGTGCATATAGATGACCTCCAGCCTTTTTAGCATGTGCTAATAGACAAGTGGACAATGCCCACCAGCTACATCTCCATTCGGCTGCAGAATAGTAACTAAGATGGCTTGCATCTGGCACAGCTGCCGACAGGTCTAAACACACACTGTGACAATGTTAGTCAAAAGTCGCCCATAGTGACAGGGTTAAAGACTACAAAACTGGACATATTAAAACATAGAAGCAGGCTGTTACCCACTGAAATCTGGATTCTTAATTGCTTAGATTTTAGAACTAATTCGCTTTCTTTTCATTCCTTGTATGACACTGACATCTAGTGGAGTTAATGTTTCCAAATCCTTCAACTCAAAATGTTCAGCACCCGCCTCCACCGCCATCCTGCGCAACGGCAAAGCCAAGCCTGGTAAGAACCCATGTGCTGGCCCTTTCTTGGCATTTCAGCTAGCTGATTCTTAAATGCCACAGCACAAACCCGTTACAGTGCTAGATACTTGCAGGACCCCAAATTTCTGTTCCACAAACATCAGTTGGGCAGCTGAACTCAAGGTGTGAAAATCTTCATTCTCAAAATGTCGTCTGACATCACAGAAGAAGAGAGCAAATGCGCCACACACACGCAGCCAGAGACCCTCTAAGAGATGTCGATTAGGGTGCGGCGCACTGGCATCTGCAGCCACTGTGCACTTTCAAGCTTGTATAAAACCTATTGCTCTGTGGCTCCCGGCCCATTTCCCCTTCAGTGCGGCCATCTCTGGCCACACGCACAGCTCCTAGATACTGAGCACAGACAGGCTGAAGAGCAGCTATTAGCCAATCATTTTTCTTCTTCTTCAGATCTTAAAATTAAGAACCCTCATGTGAGTTGTCAATCACTGAGGTCATTTGAGTTGTCAATCATCCAGGCCCCAGGATCTTTTTGGAGAGGGGACAGGATCTCCTTACAAGAAGTTTTGTTTAAAGTGGTATTTCCTTGTTTTCATATTTCTTTCATATGGTAGAAGGCAAAGTTAATGCAGACTGAGTGGTGCTAGGCAGGAACCATAGCCCTTCATAACAGTGTGTGGTGGGGCTTACACAAACTTCTTCTCCTTCACTCTTGGAACCAAGGCCATTGAAGTCAGGTGTGGTTATGACAATCAGCTTTTGGGGCCCACAGAGTCACAAGTGAATGAGCACCATTTATGGGATGTGGTACCTTCTTAACCAACAGTCCTGCTCTGGGCATCCAGCTAGGAACCAACCGTTCGTATGACTGCTCACATTGTGTCTAAGAACTTTATAACACACTGTCTTACATCCATGCACTGCTGTAGCCTACCAGACACTTTCCTGTGCCATGCAGAAGCCAAAATGACCCCTCCAGGCCTATCCAGCAGTCCTACCAATTACTTTTGCTGAACATCACTAGTGTCCATGCTCCTGACTTTAGTAGTGGAAAAAAAAAACCCCACAAATACCACCACTAAGACTCCTATGCCCCTCTGAGAAGTGGTCCCAACTGACAGACCCACGGAAGAATAGCTACTGCTCCAATTATCAGAGAGGTTCACTGATTTGTCTAAGGTCAATCAGCAGCCAGCAGTGTCTCAGAGCTGCATGATACAGGCCAGCAAAGGAAAGGACAAGGTGGCTCAAAGGGGGAACCTTCTGTCATCAGCAGACTTGAGCATGAACGATCTAACCACGGAGGCAGCCGCAAAAATGGTGGGAAAGAGTGAGGCACCCAGAGATCTGGCAGGTACCCACAGTATGCAGTGACTGTCTTCATTTGAAGGCATCAGGTCAGACAATGAACTTCCAGTTCCTCCCGGGAGATCTCTTTTAGGTTGAGATAGGAATAAGAACCTTCTCTGTGACTGACTCAGTCAGTCTGGCCCAACCAGAAAGAGAGGCTTTAAGTGCAGACACTACACAGAGCTGGCCAGGGAGAGAAAGACTTCCTGAAATCACACCATACTAACTCTGGACTCAACCACAAAGCCATCCATGATTGATTGGTGATGTCTGCTGGGCAGAAGAGGCAGGAAACAGAATGTCTGCCTCTTCTGTGGTTCAGAGAGTAGTATCTGCACCCATCAGCCCAAAGAGCTTGTAAAAGTACACATGCCTGGTCCCACCCTGGACTCAGGGTTTCTAAATCAAAGCTCAGATATCCAATCCAGCACACTCCCTAGAGGACTCCGAGGAAAGGCCATGGCAAACCCATGGCTCGGGTCCCTTGAAGACCCAGGGAGAGGGTGGGGTTGCAGTATTAATAGAAAGGCAAGTCCTATTCTCAAGCCCACCCCTGGGGTCAGTTCTCAGACCCTAACAGGTAAACAGGGTGATGGCTAAGACCTCTCTGTGATTGGTCAGGTGCAAACTGAGTCCCTCAAGACCTTCACCGTCTCTCCATCTCTAACAGTCTTTAGTGTGGGACCATGGAAGTCCCGGGAGGTGGAAGTTGTGCTCAGGGTAAAGGAAAATTGTTCAGGTTTCATATTCAGTCCGCTGGGCAATCCCATTCTGCTCAGGACCTAAATCTTTTCTTGTCACAATTTCCTCAAACTCCAGAGTCATTTAGCCTGGACTCCGCACACACCACGGGACTCCGCACACATCACGGGATTGGGACAGCGTGGTGCTGAGGTTAAGATGCTGGGTGACACTGAGAGGTTGGCCCCAGGGCTGACACTCACTGTGAAAAGGTTGGACCTGCGTTTGGACTGCTTCCGGACAGGCGTCGGGGTGTTGGCAGTGGGAGGGACATCGATCCGGAGCTCCTTCTGGCTGGTGCTTGGGGTCGAAGGGACAGAGGAGGAGTAGTCGCTTAAACTCCCGCCTCCGTTACTTGTCTGTAAAATGAAAAACAAACAAACAAATCAATGTTCTGGGAATAAAACAGCAGAAAAGCCACCAGAGCAGGGTCAGAGCAAGGAAAACAGCAAGTGACCATGACAAAGCACCTGGGAGACAAGGTGTCAACTCCCTGTGCCTGGCACTTTTACTAGTACTCAGCACTGCTGGAAGCAAGTGTTGCTTTATCTGAGAAAAAGAACCTCAGGTCTCCATAATGGAGCCTGAAAATCTCTTTCTGCTTCTTGAGACAGAGCCATGGTCTGTAGCCTAGGTTTACCTAAAACTCACTATGTAGCCCAGGCTGGACTTGAATTGAAACTTGAATAGATGACTGAGACTATAAGGTTAAGTTACCACATGCATTGAAATTTGAAAAAAAAAATTGGGGGAAAACCATAATTATTCTTCCTCTGAAAAAGAAAACTGCAGTGAAACCTGGTCCTATGGGTGCTTCACTGCTCCTCCCGGATGAGGAAGGAATGGTCACTCAAAACACCAAAGCGACCCTTCTTAAACGACACCTCACAAATCAGAGTACTACCTTAAAATGCTTTTAGATCACTCAAAAACCGAAGACACCAATTGTGAAGCTGTTCAGGTGTGTGGCGAGACCATCCTAGGCTAGACCATCCTAGGCTAGACCATCCTAGCCTAGACCATCCTAGTCTAGACCATCCTAGCCTAGACCATCCTAGGCTAGACCATCCTAGGCTAGACCATCCTAAGCTAGACCATCCTAAGCTAGACCATCCTAGCCTAGACCATCCTAGGTCCCAGTGGTAAATGCATGAAGGCAATGGCTTCTCGGGTAAACTGAGCACTTGCAACAAAATCTGATCACTGTGTCCTTTGGAATAAACAGCAATAGGACTCTCACCCAAGGGGGACTGGTCACGAAACCAGGACCAGCAAGTCACCTGTTCCTTAATGAGGTCCTGGGTGAATCCCTGTGACAAGTACCTTGCTTGCAAGTTAGCAAATTAGCAAAACATTGTAAGGGGAGGCCTTCTACAGGAACCACTGGAGCCGGCTGTTATAACCACCTTCCAGATCTAAGCCTAAGTGCATTCCTTAGCCAGTAAAACTTCTTCACAACTGCTCACCCTTAAACAAACCAAGAGCAAAACCAGTCATCTCAATCCACAGTGAAGATGGCAGCACACACCTGTTGTGCACTATTGTTTACTGGGTGAGGATCTACTGCTGTGACTGGTTTAATAATGAGCTCAACGGCCAGTAACTAGGTGGGAAGAGGTTAGGCAGGTCTCCTGGGGACAGAGAGGACTCCAGGGAGAAGAAAGGGAGATGCCAGGAGACACGGAGAGGAAACAGGAGGTACAAGATGCCACTGGTAACATAGATTAATATAAATGGGCTAATTTAATTTGTAAGAGCTAGTTAGGAACAAGCCTAAGCCACAGTCTGAGCTTTCATAATTAGCAAGAAATCTCCGTTTCATTATTTGGGAGCTGACTGGTGGGATGGAAAAAGAACTTGTTACACACACCTGGCACCACCCCATTCCAGCACACCTCATAACACAGGCAGTGTGCAAAGAGAACTTTAAAGATTGACTCTCATAAAGCCCAATTGGCCACTGCAGCTTCTGAAGGAACTGGGAAGTCAATAATAAAACATGCTGTTATTTACAAAGTTGGGAGGGAATGGCAACAGTTTTGGCACTGGCTGTGAGCACTTCCTGCCCCAAGTCCTCCTTGGCACTTGCTGGATGCCTCACCTCCCGCACTACCTTTCCTACCTGGCTGATGTGCACGGCTGACACCTGGGCAGAACACACAGAGGAGTGGCTTGGAGAGTTGGGTAAGGACTTGCAGGGGCCTATGGACAGCTGCTGCTTCTTCCGCGTGGCAACAATCTTCTGAGCAACTAGTGGACACAGAGACAAGACACAACAATGTGAGGCCAGTGTTCAGATATGAGGTGAACAACAGGGACCTCTGGGGATCCCTGAATCCTTCCATTCCTGCATGCACAGCAAGCTTCATCCAGATACCCGACCACCAGGATAAATAGGGCATTTCCCAGGGCTTCTGAATACCATACCCCGGCAGAATATAGCCAGTGGAATTAAAGCATACACAAGCCCTGGCCAATGGGATTACAGCACACACAAGCCCTGGTCAACAGGATTACAGCACACAAGCCCTGGCCCATTTGATGAGGGCTGAAAACTCATGTGGCTTTCAAGACCTGTCTTCAGGTGAGAGCTGCTCTCTGTCCCCTTCTTCTTTGTCTTTTTTGCTTAATCTCTCTGAAATGCACAGATGTGACTTTGGTGCCAGGAGCCACCCAGGACCATTAGTGACACAGGGATGGAAGTCACACCAGCGAGTCAGGAAGCAAAACAAGCCAGAACTCCTGAGGGCTTCAGCCTACTTGGACTACCTCAGGGGCCTCAAATGTGAACAAGAACACACGCCCACCCACCTCACATAGGCTACCCCAATAAAACAGTGTTTTCCAGTTATTTAAAAGAATCCCAAATAAGGAAAGTTGAACAAAATCCCTCTGAAAGTTTTTATTTTCTTTTTGGGTTTTGGGCGGGGGTGTGTGCGAATTATCTAAGGAATGACTTGTAACTTTACAGGCTGTGTAGAATTATACTCAAGCAAGAGAAATTATAACAAAGACTTTTTAAAAAAATATTAATATATGGCCGCATACACTGGAAGTTTATCTTATTTGATGCAAATATAAATTCAACCGTCCATAACTTCTCTCAGCAAATAGTCTTGCTGATAAAGCACATGGAATTTAACTGCAAAGAAAGCGAAGAATTGGAAAACCATTCTTATACCAATAGGTGTCACTGCAGCAGAGTGGCTGCAGCTTGTGCCACGTCTGGGGTGAGGAACTGGAGTTAAGCCTGGCCTCTGCACACACTGCTGCTTTTGAAGCATTCTGCCTCTCCAGGACCACTGGTTACAGGAGACAGAGGCCACAAGGTGCTCACAGGTAATTTCACTTCCAAATGAACATAACTTTAAGCAGGAACTGATGTGCCCACAGCTCACGGCTTTTGTGCAAATAAATGATAGTGTTAAATGCAACTAAGTGGAAATGCAATCTATAAAAAATGGTTCTCAGAGATGAAGCAGCTGCTTCATCAGTCACGGCCCACCTCCGAAAGGCTTCTCATCACCCTGAAAGGATGGTATCAATTAATTTATCTTCCCTCCATGTATTGATCATAACCTTCATCAGCTAATCATGTTTAAATTACAGAGGAATATCGTGGTACTCCGTCATTTCAAAGCCATTGGTGTATTGATCAGGGACTGTTGAAAATGTGTATTAGACTATCTTTAAAAAATCATTGTATGAACTCAAAAATAAAATCAAAGGTCAGTGTCTAAGAACTGCAAAGCAAGTGTCACAGGGAGGTTCTGAAATTTGAAGACCCAGATTAACCCCAAATACTAACTGTCTGGGTGTTGTGGTTTGAATGTGAAAGTTCCCTCAGATCCACGTGCTTACAACTTGGTCCCCAGCTGGAGCTGCTGCTGGGGAGACTGAGCAATGTTAAGGTGTCCTGTTAGAGGAAATATGTCACTGGGTGGCCTTCAAGTTTTTACAGTCTGGTCCTACTTCCTGTTCTCCTTGTGCCTGCTTCCTGTATGGTAATGAAATGTGATCAGCCAGCTTCCTGACTGCCACTCCATCTTCATGCTCCTGTTGCTATGCCTTCCCTGCTATGACGGGTCACATCCCCTCTGGACCTGTCAATCAAAGCAAACCTTCCCCCCTCTAAGTTTCTTTTCACAGGATTTCTGTCTGAGCAATGGAAAAGTTAACTAATAAACCCTGTGAGTAATCATTTGCAAAAAGAGGCTCAGATGATCATTTTTTTGTCTTAATGCCAGTCTGAGTTCCCATCAGTCCAGACCTACAATGACTTAACCATGGAACGTAAAGAAGACACACAAAACATGCTCAACTACATACTCTTAAGTGCTTTTGGACACCTGCTATGAAGGTGGAAGGGAAGGTTTAGGAACTTGAGTCAAGTATGTTATGGAAACTCACGTTGTGAGAAACTTCAAATGCAGTTCCTTGCTTTCATTGGAAGGCACTGGGATAAAGAGCACAGCTCACAGCAAAGCCACCATGGGCAGCAGAGTGTGGCTGCACTCCAAGCCCCCGTGCCCCCACAGCAACTGTTCTCTTCCAACCTTAATGACCAAAATACAGACCAACAATACCTAACAATCGACAGCATTTATTTTTATTACTCCCCCCCCCCACATTTGGCCTGCTTCCTCATTATTCTTAACACTTTCTAACTCACATACACCAAGAAGGGAAAGAAAATGACTTTAAAATGTTTTGTTCTACAGTGCCAGGAGTACTTTGGAAAGATAGGATAAAATGTAAGAATAGGGGCAAATTTACTTAATGAAGGACAGCAGGATTCTGAGTAAGGATGAAGTCGCCGAGGAAAGGGAGAAGGTGCAGAAGGTCTGTCCTGTGTTGTAGAACTCTTGCTAACAGCCACAGATTTGCTAATGGCTGCTGAGGCTGCCTGCTTCGTGGACCAGGGAGAAAACAGCACACCTGGGTTCCTTGGTTAAAGACTTTCCTAAAAGTGAAAAAGGTAAAAAGTATAGTGCCAACTCCAATCAGGAAGCGACCATGCTATTTATTATAGGATCATGTCCCGCCATCAGGAGACAGATCCACAGGGGCCTTGACCCCAACAGCTGAGTGCTTGCTCTGCTCTAATCTCAGTCTAGGACAGAGACCACAGGGACGGAAGGCAGGCCCTGCCCCTTTCAAACTGTAGTCGTTGCTGGTAGTTGAAATGCATATGTGCTGGTAGGTTCAAAGACATAATCTCAGGCTCCGCTGGTGGGCTAATCTCATCATCTGTGTTAGTCAGAGCCTTGGTCATTCAACAAACACACTGTTGCATACTTTACCAATACACATACCTAAAGGTCTTCCTCACTGTGCAATATTCCAGACATACAAACACCCAAGCTCCAAAGACCTGGCTTTACTTTCTTATTAATGAGATTTAATATTCTCTCACACTTGGTGGGATTCTGGACACTAAGTGTTGTGTTCCATCTAAAAGCATCACTTAAGAAGACATGACCACTGCCCTTTTACCACAGGGGCCACCAAAACCTCTCTTCTTTTCCATGCTGTTGCTTTAAAATTGCTTCCTCTACAGTTCAGCTTTCTGTTTGGACTTGAATAGGAGGCAAAACCAAAACAAAGCCCTCCCTTTGGCCAGTTCTTCACACCTACCAATGGATTTAATTGCACAAGGCTTGCACAGCAAGCAGTCTAGCTCAGGCAGAGGACCAATGTCAGAATGGTGCCACCTTATGGAGGAGGTGGGTTAGTGCCTGGGAGCACAGCAATGATCTCCAAGTTGGCAAGCCTTCGTCCTAATCTGGGCTAATGTATGACATCCTTAAGCTGAAACATATATCCGTGTACATAGTTCCATTGGAAAATTACATACCTTAACAACAAAAACCGACATGCATTCATTTGCTTTCTCCATAAACTGAACATTTTCTACTGAACAAGAAAGAACCCCCAAACAGAGATTTTTCTGTTCAACCCCTTTTCTTCTTCCATGACATTACTGTTATCCACACAAAAGCAAGAATCACCTTGGTCCTATCAGTAGAGACAGCCCCCTGTTCACAGCCCTGTGACCAAGCACATAGAAGTATTTTGCCTTGTCTCTGTTTCCTGAAGGCTGAACATGGTAGGAGGTCTATGACCTCACTTCATCCAGCAGATAAAAGAGGACCTAGTGGAAGCTATGTCCTTCTCATGGTGGACACTTATCCCTCTGGAAATGTAAGCCCGAATAAACTCTTCTTGACCAGTTGTATGACAAAAGGAAGGAAGCTTGTCATTAACAATGGTGTCAACTAAGCAGAGGCATGGGCCCTCTCTCCAGCAGCCTTCCTGCAAATCTGTCTTTGGCTGAGGCCACCCTCTCCAATTTCTGACCCCCACAACTTAGGAGCTGGTCTGTCTCTTTGCCCTTGTGTGGTGCCCAAGATACCTGGCAGCTGCCTGGAAGTCAGATCACATGTTCCTATATGAGCCCTGGGCAGTTTCTGCTGCAGCTGCCCATCCCATCCATTGCATTCAGCTATAGGTTTCCAGAACACACTAGGTTCTTGGCCTCTTCCTCTGCCTGGAATTCCTCAAGCTCCTCTGTTGCCTTCTCAAAGGTGCTTCCAGGGCTCTGGTCCTCGGCCTTCTCCACGCTCCAGACTTGCTCTTGGAAAGCCATCTACACATTCAGTTAGTAACCACCTCAATGTGATGGCTCCCAATAGGGAGCCTGTCCTGAGGCCCTCCTGCCTTCTAAACCTACATGAGCCCAGCATGTGACTGTATTGTGCTGGGGCACGTCTGAGTCTACACTTCCCAGCCCACACCTCCACCCTTTCCTCTGTAATCTTAGCACTCTCTATGCAGCAGCCCCTGGCCCCTGGCTCCTGGCCCCAGGCACAGGCAGAAAAGACAGCAGACTGACTACTGGTCCAACAACCACAGTTGCTCCCAAATTCTTCTTCATTGCCAATGCCCATGACCAAGCCCTCGACCTACCACAGCTGATTACAGACAGCCTATAAAGAGCCACTAACTGCAGCCTGAGCCCGAGCAAGCTGCAGGGTCACCTTCTCCAAAGCAAACCTGACTGTGACGTTGTTCTGCTTAGATGTGCAATGGCCTTTGGGCATACAAACCTTATGTGGATTAAGGGTGGTTCTGTACTCCTGTGATAGGCCTGCCTTAGCACAACTATGTAAGTCTTGCTTTGCTAGAACACTCAGAGATCTCAGATAAGTTCCCACAGGGTTCCAGAGTAGTGGTTCTCAAACTGTGGG